AAACAGTATTCTTTTCTACTGCTGCAATTATTTTGTTGCGATTATAAAATGCTCTGTGCATAAATTGCTTATCTTCCAGGCACCCAAAGTGTTCAGGGCGGTAGAACACAGTTCCTGGATTGTTAGTGTCAATATCCATATATTTGATTTTCGCCTGTTCTAAAAAAAAATCACCTCGGTGGCTGTGGCCTGGGTACGTAGTCCATGGAAGCTAGTGACAGTAGGGAGCTGGCAGTAAGTATGGATGATGACAACCTGGCTACCAAAATTTCTCCACAGAACTCAAGAACTCAGTACAGTGCCGACTCACAAATGTTGCAAAAGTCACTATCACTACTGCAAATTTATTAATTTTGACACAACCCCTCCCCTTCTATCCCCTGTGGCTAATTACACTCACAGGAAGCTTTCATATGAAAGTATAATACTCATTGCAATACAGTAACAGGGGACAGGTAACAACTGTCTGGAAAAAAAAACTTCTACTACTACTACTACGCTAGGTATTTACACTAGTTATAAGGGCTAAGCCATTGACACTACTAAGGTACAACCAAACAAGCAATCAAGAATGAAGAGGGTTCATTCATTCATTCAAAAAACGAGAAAAGTCAATTCAAGTACATGTACAATGTATTTTATTTCACACAACATGAACAGTCCACTAACTTAAGAAATGTAACAATTACCCGCTATCTACCCAAGGCATTGTCAGTAGGGAGAGCCACAATCTCTTGGTTGGTTGCAAGACGTTGAATATGTTGCAATGATACTCGGAGGGATATTTCTGGTGGGGCCCTCACCAGCAATGTCACTCGGAATGTCATCGAAACACATTCAAGCACCTTACCAACAACCAGGAAACAGTGATTATCCCTGCCAACAATAGTTCAGGTACACAGAAGGAACTGTTACATTTTTACAAGGTTAGACAATAACACGCTAAGTTAAAGCAACTAGATAAAATCATAAATCAGAAAATCATAAATCAGAAAATCATAAATCAGAAAATCAAATCAGAAAATGATGAGAGGTTGTCCGATGTCGTCACCTTCACCTATGAAAAGAAAAAAAGAGAAATGTCAATTCAAGTACATGTACAATGTATTTTATTTCACACAGCATGTCTGTTTACACACAGCACGTGTACAGTCAGGCAGTCATTCGTCAGATAAACAGTACTGGTGGAGGCATGACAGAAAGTTGATGATTTGTGATGCAAAATTTTCGTCCACTAAGAAAAGTAACAATTACCCCTTCCCCAAAGCATTGTCAGCATGGCGGCAAGACATCGTCAGCATGGCAGCGATCTTCATGATGAGAGGTTGTCCGATCTTCACCTATGAAAACTCAAAAAGAGAGTAGTCAATTCCGTACATGTACAATGTATTTCATTTCACACAACATGAACAGTCTGGTGGAGGCATGACAGGAATTTAATGATTTGTGATGAAAAATTTCCGTCCACTGAAAAATGTAACAATTACCCGCTATCTACCCAAGGCATTGTCAGTAGGGAGAGCCACAATCTCTTGGTTGATTGCAAGGCGTTGAATATGTTGCAATGATACTCGGAGGGATATTTCTGGTGGGCGCCTCACCAGCAATGTCACTCGGAATGTCATCGAAACACATTCAAGCACCTTACCAACAACCAGGAAACAGTGATTATCCCTGCCAACAATAGTTCAGGTACACAGAAGGAACTGTTACATTTTTTCAGCTATAAAATCATAAATTATTAAATTACATCGATGAAAGTTAGACAATAATATGCTAAGTTACTCAAGCAACTGGATAAAATCATAAATCAGAAAATCATAAATCAGAAAATCAAATCAGATCCAGTTGCTTGAGTAACTGTTTCCACCAGATATTAACATTTTACAAAAAAATCACAAATTAACTAAATGCAAAATCACAAATTAAAGACATGCACAAAATACATAACTCGGCAGCCGAGTGATGCCGGAGGGCATCACTCGGCTGGTCGTCGGGCCGGAGGGCATCACTCGGCTGGTCGTCGGGCCGGAGGGCATCACTCCGCTTGTCGTCGGGCCGGAGGGCATCACTCGGCGGGTGGAGGGTATCTGAAATTACTCAAAAGAGAATAGTCAATTCCGTACATATACAATGTATTTTATTTCACACAACATGAACAGTCTGGTGGAGACACGACAGGAAGTTAATGATTTGTGATGAAAAATTTCCGTCCACTAACTTAAGAAATGTAACAATTACCCGCTATATCTACCCAAGGCATTGTCAGTAGGGAGAGCCACAATCTCTTGGTTGATTGCAAGGCGTTGAATATATTGCAATGATACTCGGAGGGATATTTCTGGTGGGGCCCTCACCAGCAATGTCACTCGGAATGTCATCGAAACACATTCAAGCACCTTACCAACAACCAGGAAACAGTGATTATCCCTGCCAACAATAGTTCAGGTGCACAGAAGGAACTGTTACATTTTTTCAGCTATAAAATCATAAATTATTAAATTACATCGATGAAGGTTAGACAATAATATGCTAAGTTACTCAAGCAACTGGATAAAATCATAAATCAGACAATCATAAATCAGACAATCATAAATCAGAAAATCATAAATCAGAAAATCATAAATCAGAAAATCGTACATCAGATCCAGTTGCTTGAGTAACTGCTTTTTGACATGAAATTACGACTAGTCTGTCCCAGTCCGTCTCTACCAGACCAGAAAAAAATCACAAATTAACTAAATGCAAAATCACAAATTAAAGACATGCAGAAAATACTTAACCCGGCTGGTCGTCGAGCCGGAGGGCATCACTCGGCAGATCGTCGGGACCGAGGGCATCACTCGGCGGGTGGAGGGTGTCACCCGGGGAGAGTGCAAGCCGATGGTCGGGCCGTGGCGTCGCTGGCCGCGGTGGTCGGCGGCCATGCAGACTGTGGCAGGAGGACGGCCTCTCCGGCGGGTGGTCGGGCCGGAGGGCGTCACCCGGCTGGTGGTCGGGCCGGGGAAAGTGCAAGCCTGGCCGCGGTGGTCAGCGGCCACGCAGGATGTGGCAGGTGGATGGCCTCTCCGGCTGGTGGTCTGCCGGAGGCCCCCGGCAGGTGGTGGGGCCGGGGGGAGGGCCCCTCCAGATGGTGGTAGTCCGGAGGTGGCCCTCTAGCCGATGGTCTCTGGCCGAAGTTCATATCGTCTGTGGGCATAATGTAGAAAGAACACGAGACTGAGTGTCTGGGTTAAATGTACATTGTGTACCCATAACAGAGATGGGGACGGCAGAGACTCTCTGCTACTTGTGGTCCACAGATCATAAAACGATACTTCCTAAAATTCTACATGTATATTATATATACCAAACTTACCGCTCTCCTTCGTTCTTCTGCAGCTTCCACTGCCAACCTATTACGTGCTGTAATAGCTGTCATCCTGCGGGGGGGACGCAATTGCTAGAAAGGGATAAAAGGGGGCTGTTACAATCATGATCGGAGGAATTTGTAACATATAAACATTCCTCAGATATATGGAGAGAGTTTAATTGACACAATATAAGTACATCGACGTAACAGGTCTTTAAATCATACAGACAGACGAGGTGTGTACGAAAATGTACCTAGAAGACTATGGAAAGACCACGAAATGCACCAAATGCGTTATATATTTAGAAATTATGTCACAGCAGCGAAGTCAAGCGTTAATAACCTGATTAAAAATTGAATGTGAAAAAAATTACCTACAAAAGGCCAGCAGGACAAATTTGAAAAAAAAATTAAATGAAAGACAAGACACACATAGTGCATGGTCTTCTTTTTCATATCAACACTTACCACTTTCACTCCAAACAGAGCCGCTGTGGCCCGTGTCTCGATAGAAGGCCCGCAACCCTTTGCGGCCTCCACATACCAGGTGCAGGTGCACCCGGTGGTGCAAGTCGCGGTCTTCGAGGTGGTCGTCGAGCCGGTGGAGCGGGCGGCACAGGCACTGGTGCAGGCACTGGCACGGGCAAGGGCACTGGTGCGGGCAGTGGCACTGGCGCTGGTCCGGGCACGGGCGCGGGCACTCGAGCGGGCACAGGCACCGGCACTGGCAAGGGCACTGGCGCAGGCACCGGCGCAGGCATGAGCACTGGCACGGGCGCTGGCACTGGCGCGAGCACTGGCGGG